GGTGGCCCCAATTAGTGGGTCAGTCGAAGGAAAGAAATGCAATGCATGAATTAATGCCACCAAACTTGCCTGTGAGAGAACATTAACACAATTCTTGCACCATCTTACCCTGTGCATTATTTTCATGGCACAGGAAGGGAGGCACCTAATGCTGGTGAAATGCAACTTCTTTCTGGATTCAAAAGACCCTCTAAGAGCGCAGTATGCAACACAAGTAGCGCCACCTCGAAAGCCAAAGACAGAACACGCAAAGATGTCTTCAAACGTGAAGTGGCCAAGGTTACGGATAGTTAAGGTAGTTTCTTGGGTGAGAGAATCTTTTCCCTCAGTCTCTCCAAAACAACAAAACGAAGCAACTTGGACCTGAAGCATTCTGCCTCTTTTAAGTGGGCAGCAATTTTACTCTAACCGTCTTACAAATTAAGTCCGCAGTTGAAACATTTTACAAAGCAGTGTAATTCAGTCTAGACAACTCATTTCGTATTCCCCAGTCGCGTTTTCCTTGTCTCCGACGTCCACTCCGCTTTAACGCCACCCGCTAATTTACACCGTTGAAAGGATTGAGTAAATTGAGCTTCCGAACAAAAGAGCAGTTGGATTTCTTTTAAGCCACCAAATAGTAGCTTTGTCCCCTTCCTTGTTAAATCTGATCATGAATTTGTTTGCAATGTGTGAAATAAAATTTCATTGCTTTTATCGAGACATTTTAATTATGAAAGTTGGATGGCGCAGTGGAATTCAGAACTCCAAGTTAAATGAGTTGCCTGAATGTCTAGGCCATTGAAAGGCTGTTCAGGATTGAAAATATTTTTACTACCGTAAAAATCGCTTCTATAGGAAATACAAGCGTTATGAGCGTAACATCACAGAGCAGCTTGTACTAAAATTCCGACGTGGATGCTTATGCAGGATTTATGATGTCTCTAAACGGTGTGTCAGTTATCAGGACTTGAATACCACACTTCACTATTAAAATAGGTGGAATTAAAAAAATCCAGAAATAACTGTGTCCTCATTAACTGCCTTTCTTTGACTTACGGCTTGCGATATCTCGCGACCCCAACGATGAATGGTTTGTCCATCGGAGATGACAGGACTGTTTAAACAGGGATCACTTTCAACGCCGTTCTCCTCCTCCATTACCGGATACAGCGGACTCCCAACTGTAGCAATCAGTTGGTTAATATTTTCAAAGTGTTGACACCGACGAATTTGTGGGAGCGTTGTTATCTCCTCAGTTTTAAATTCCCCATCTTCCATCATGCCTTCGACTCTATCATCATCATCATCGTCGTCGTCGTCTTCGTCCTCTTCTTCGGCTACAATGATTCGCGTCGACTCCTCCTCAACAGGACTGTTTTGCTTCCAGCCTTCGGTCACGTAGGTCTGCTGAAATGGCGAATCTATAAATATTTCTGGAGGTTCGTCCACATGAGCTCGTCGAAGATTAATCTCGCCTTGTACTGACACTGGGTCAAGACGGAGGTCTCCTTTGAGTGGACTCACTGTTTCACAACGAACAAAATCTGTCATGTCTCGAGGCACTTTGGGTAAGAGAACGTTTTCACTTGGGGCAATCGTAAGCAGAAGGGGATAGGAATAACCGTGGCTCAATACTCTTTGGATTTTTGGAATTCCGAGCAAAGAGAGATGACGAGAGATTGATTTAGAGGGCGGTCTCTGTCCCTCAAAGGTGGAGGACGTTGTGGTGGTCATCGAGGTGTCAGAAAAGCTTTGCTGCATTTCACCCATCTCCTCTTCTCCCTCCTCCGAAATGGGGCCAAAAGGTGGGTCGTCTAACTGGAAACCTTCTCCATGGTCTTCCTCCGCTGCCTCGTCAACAGTGTCAACTTCTAGCATCCCTCGGCCATAATATCTCCACGGATCACTATAGTAGACAGCCATCATTTCATCTGTGTAGGGAAGGTGGCTGTGATTATCAAACCCTTCCGAGGCGGGTTCGTGAAAGGAGCTGACAGGAGAGGAAGTAATGCGGTTGGGCAAAAACAGCAACTTAACACCTTCCGTGTCGGGGCATTCACTGTCACTGGAGGGTAAATTCTCCTCCTCATCAAAGCCACTGACTGGGTGCTGGGGCATGTGCAAGTGGAGATCATTCTGGGTGGCCATTAAGTCGGGAAATTGAAGACTTTTTGGACTGTCAATAGTAATGGTTGGGAGGAGAACATCTTGAGTTTGATGTGTGGAGTCTACAAACATTAATTTTCATCAATAAAAATGCCTTTATGGAAGGTATAAACTGAGTTTCACAAATCTCAGTTCCCCAACGCTTGTCTATCTCCCAATCATTTACCAAACTCAAACTTTCTTCCACCTAATGTGTTTCTGTTCCGACAGTATCTAGGCCAAAACTGACAACCAAGTTAAAAATTGACATTTTGACACTTTACGAGGGAACAATATTAATTAGTTTTTCTTGGAGGGATAACTGTGCTGATCCTATCCATTTCAAATGTCACTTCTACTAATATAGAGGTTTCCAGACGTGTGCGCATTACACAACACCGTCAAAATGGCTCCAGGCACTTTGCCGGTAGCAGCGATTTGAATACGGATGCTGAGCGGATCCACCTTGAAGGCATTCGAAACCGATATCTACTCAGGACACTTTTTACCTCATCTTAAAGGCGACAAGCAGGAGTGGACGTTCACAGATCACCTAGAAATAGCGATTAGGCGGTTTTGTGTTCAGGTAATGCGCTTTTTCGACGGTCCTTTATCAGGCAACTCCAAATGTCGGTCACGTCAAT